TCTGGGTTTTTTTTTTTATCAATAATTATTTTATGTTTCAGTGCAAGGATATACCAAATAACAGAGCATTAATGTTTGTGCAGTAACTGTTTTATGTATGATATATACATTGTAAAAAAAATAAAGTTTTCCATAATTTTTTTTTTCAAAATCCTGAGTCAATCCCCAGGGGACGATATTTTAATTCAAACAATCGAGAAGAGAAAAACGACATATAAAAATCGGAATATTGAAGCAAAGGAGTTAGGTACCTGAATACTTTCAGAGCCGTACGTGGTTCGAAAATGGTTATGTACTAAGCCTATGTACAAACATGTAAGCGAACGATAATGACTTTCGACAAGAGAACCATTTATTTGTTACTCTGTAACTCTTCAACTTACAGAGACAAAAAACGACCCGATTGTCGAAGTCTTTTAGTTATCTTGTACTCGAGACAATGAATCTTCCATGCCATCTTTGTTGTACTTTCGGTTTGACGAATCAACTCTCCTTCGATCATGCATCCCGGAAAATAACTGAACATCGTATATTTATGTCTTTTATTTGGAAATTAATGTACCTTTTTTTTACGGTAAGTGAAATCGACGTCAGGCATTTTTGATAGAATAAGCGTCGGGCGCGTTTGACGTAATAACGTCACAAACGAGAATAACGTCACATAACGTTATTTTACGTGGTATGGATCTTTACCTTAAAAGCTTAAATTTTAGTAACAGACATGATAACGAGTAACTTCAAGGAATTTTTAAGAAATTAATGAAAAGGAGTGTCTAAAGCCCGTGTCACACTGTCACTATTTATAGCTACGATACACTACGAATTCAAAAATCGCAGCAAATCGGGATTTATCGCAGAAGTACTCGCAGGATATCTTCCTGAATCGTGTTGGATCGCAGCAAATCGCCATACTTGGCGATTGTTTTGAGCATGTTCAAAACAATCGTGGACAAAGCACGATTTTTAATTATTCGTAGACAATCGCACAGCATCCGCACTGCACTCGTACTCATAATCGTAGTAAATCTTCGAAATTCGTGCGACATTCGCGGAACTTCGTAGTACTCGCGACACTACGAGAGTCCTACGAGTTATTTCGAGTGTCCTTCGAGTTTGTGCGAGTGTGTCTCGAGTTACTGCGAGTGTCCTACGAGATACTGCGAGTGTTCTTCGAATTGATAAGAACATAGTACGACTTTTCCAAGAATATGATACGAAAAAGGACGATTGAAGGCAAGTGCTGTACGAAAACTGTGCGATTGAACTACTATTTGATACGATGTAGGCAGACGGTGTCTGATGTTAACACTGTCGAAATCAAAATACTGCCTAAAATAAAAGGAAAGAAGCTTAGAAAAGTGAAATAAACTGAAAATACATGGGTAACTGAATCTATAAACAGCGTGTACAATAAACACACGAAGAAATCCAACATAATCAAAAGTTCCACACTGTAGTTTTTACCATGATCATAAAACATAACTATGATGTTAAATGATTTCAGACAAATCTCCCTTTACTATATATGTGCATTCTATTACATGTATAATCGTAAGAAATCGCCATTAGTCGTGGGAATATCGTGTATGTAACGTGGCATATCGTAGTCCTTCGTTGAGTATCGTATGTAACCGCGTTTAATCCTTCATAATCGTAGAAATATCATAACCAGTTCGTAACGCTGTCGCCTTAGTTCGTACTTAAATCGTACAAACCTCGTACTTTTTCGCACAGACATCGCAGACACACCATTCTAGCAGCAAAATATTCTACACGCTGTAGAAAAATCGCAAGACAAACCTGGCGATGAACGGCGATTTTCAACTTTTATTAATCCGTGGGTAATCGTAGCATTAATCGTGACAGTGTGACACGGCCTTAAACTAGAACCTTATAAAAAAATATTGATATTAAATTGAATGTCAATGACCAAAAACTTTGGACAAAAAAAAAAGAGCTGCGAGAAAGTGCATCGCCATGGGGTTGTTCAAAAAATAATATCCGACACAATTTTTTTAATTACGTAGAAAGATATGACTCGTATGAATATTATCAATAACAAATAAATTCAAACAAAATAAAAAAAAAATTATTTTGTGTTTACCATTTTAAAAATGAATATGTGTCAGTCGAGGAAATCTAGACGACCGTCGTGTTATATTTATCCAATTTTACCTTACGGATATTAATTTATTTTATACTCTATAAAGCGATATGCTAAAAAAAATAAATACCTTCTATTCACCTTTATCTGATCCATTTGCCTATATACAATAATGTATATGAACAGCCCGCCTGCCGAGAAGATCATTTTACGCCTCCCCCCTTTTAAAAAAATGATTAAGTTTCATGTACATGTTTAACATTTATAACATTTGAGTAGGAAAAATTTAAACAAAATCTTCATATTATTTTAGAGATTGCTGTAATATTAAAGACGATTTAATAATAAATTATATCACACAAGAATTAGTTTTAAAAGTATATACATATATAAACGTAAGAAATTCATTGTAGAATACCTTGCTAAAAAATTGCTGAACCAGCCTAATAAATTTTTGAAACGAAAAAGTCTTAAAAAGTTACATTTTTGTTTTGTCATCAAATTTTCATTGACAATTGTCTTTTTTAAAGCTGATAAAATATTCTAAACTTTCCGTAGTTGACAATCTACTATTTGGAGTCGAATTCTTTTCAATACTCTGTACTTTCGGCATAAAATTTATGAAATCATTTGATTGTTACTACTGTAAAACAATGTCACATGTCCCCAAAATCTAGAGCTTTCTCCACTCTCCTGTAAAAAAGCGGTAGTAAGTTAGATAGCTCGCGATATTAAGTATGGAAACCCTCCAAAAAATCAAAATTTTAACACTATGATGAAAAATGAGAGTGTTTTTATAATGGTTATAAACAAGAAAATGTTTTTCTATACTTTTTTTAAGTTTTGAAATTTATTTCAAGAGCTGAAATCGTTCCTGAAATAGAAACTACATACCTTTAAAGAAGTTATCCTTTTTCTGAATGACACCCAAGTGTGAAGAGGTTTTTTGTCCTTGCAGAAATCGTAGAATTAAAAGCAATAAATAAGGATATGACAGTTCTCTAAGAATATTGAAAACTTTTATTACGCAGTTATGATAAGGCTGTCCTAAGGCTTAAGATGCCTTGAAAATATACATTATATTTTGAGCTAGATTTAAATTTCTAGAGTCAACTTGAGATAATAGTTTAATCAGGTTCTATTCTAAAGCATTTTTGTGATGTCACATGACTGTGTTGATCACGTGACGGGGATTTATGATATTCCTAATTGTTGCACAAAAATCGGTTCGGCACAAGTGCAAAACAAAAATATTGTGCAAAGTTTGTTACATAGATCAATTCGTCATGATCTCTGGTACATAGAAAGTGCTGGGGGCAGGTTTAATTTTTACCTGTTTAGAAAATATTTTACGAGAAATTCAACTTACCAACATAAGAAGGGGTGTTTTCCACTCTTTATCGAGATTTATACAAAAATGGCTAAACTATACATAATCCCCCAGCAAAAATCAGTTAGAAGCCATACTTCTCTTATAGATTCACACTGAATATCTTCAATTTGTTCTTGTTAATCACTTGTGCCAGTCCAATATAATCACGATTCAAAAATTCTAACTCTGTCTACGAATTTTTAAGGGGAGCGTTTCACACATAATTTTTTGCTATTGTTTGAATATGTGCATATCGGACAATAAAAAGGAATAAGGATAATTAAATTTCAAATGTTCAACATCATAACAGCACACTGAAGCTTAAAAAAACAATTCTACACTTTAATTTAACAACAAGTCCCCAATATAAATCTACATGCCATGTAACACTTTCCCCGTCATGCTCAAGTATGCAGTGACTTGACGTCATATTATATAATGACGTCATATCTAGGTAATTCAGAGAAGTTAGTACAGTTTGAACAGTTTGATATTTTACGGGCAGTCTTATCCTTGCTGCGGATACAATTAAATTTATTGACATCAATCATTTTCTTTAAGATATAAATCTGCAATTTTATTTATGTTTTGAGTTTCTTTCTAAGAATATTATAAGAAACTTATATTTATTCATCTTGCAAAAATTTTTATATCTTTACTTCTGAACACACAGTGTAGGATGTAATATACGGGTGTGTAAATCGGACTGCACTCAGAATAGAAGAAGCTGTGTTTGTAGTCCTATAAATGCAATTGAAGCCTGTAGGTTCATAGTGTGAGAAAATAGAAAGAATGTAATCATATGGAGACAAGAAACAAGGTATTTATTGACAAATAAGTTGATGAAACAAGAATATCAACGTTCTCCTCTAAAGTCATTATTTCTTAAGTTCTATGGTTGATACAATTATCTTGTCAGCAAATAAAAATTATCATTTAATGGAATGCTGACTGATGCTTTTCATACTGATTGTATTATTTGTACACTGAATTGACGACAGATTTTTCCGTTGTTTCCTGATCATGACAAGGAGCACACGGCGGGTGTGACGGGTCAGTAGGGGATGCTCACTCCTCCATGGCATCTGATCCCACCTCTGATGTTTCGGGGGTCCGTGTTTGTTCTGCTCTATTTTGTATTGTTTAATAGAATTTGCTGAATTTGATATTGAATACTGTTCGTTATCTCGATATCCTTTATCTATTATTTTTACTATTATATCCTTTTTTTGTTTGAGCCCAAAGACAAGTGTTGACTTCATAATATGATGGAGAGGTTCTCAAGAATTACATTTGCAAACAAAACTGCAAGCGGTTTCTTAAACGAGGCAGAATAAGTTGAGAAAGGTAGGACTGGAACAGACTCCTTAAAAATTCACTGTCTCTAAAAAAATTTTTTTGTTTGCATTTGAGAAATTTTGGGGTTATCTTGTATATATTTCATATCATTACAACTGAAGTTTTCTCTTAAACATTTTTTTTAAATTGTTGAAAACCTAAACGTTCATGGTGGAAGTAGTAAAAATGAAGAGTATGTTTGTTAAAACTAAATTGATATAAAGCGCACTTTGTGAAAGACAATATTATAGAATACATTTTGTAGGATATCATTTTTTTTTTTAATTTTTAATCATTAGAATTTTACCAAACGTGTCAAAAAAATGCTTTTATCAGAAAATAGGGAAGAAAGTAATTATAATCTTTTTTTTTATAAGATTGGTAAAGTGTAAACTTTGAATTAAAATTTAGCAGGTTATTTGGATGAGATATATTATCTATTTTTGAGAAAACAGTTTGATATGTAAAAGAGAAGCAATTCTTTTAGATAAGGAGTATAATAATCCCTTTTTGTCTAATATCTTTGATATCCTGAAGGTTTCTTCAAACCAAATTGCAAAGGAATAGTTTCATTCTGTTCATTTTTAATGTAAATTCGTCAGCGCATATTATAAAATATTTAATCATTTTTTTCTAGTATGGCACTTTGATAATATGTTTATGTAGTTTTGTTATTGCATTGACACCCTTATTTCAATCGGTCATTTAAATAAGAACGGCAAATGCAATAATTCCAGGAATTAAACACAATCGATACTTTAGAAATAATAATACCATAACAATGCCAATCGTTTTGCAGGAATGGATAATAATTTGATATTTAAACTCGTCAGTTGACGGATTAATTCTAAGCTCTTACAGAAACGCTCTAAATACACACCAGAAACTACAAAATGAGCTGTATTCGTATTGTTTGTTTAATTACCTCTCTTTTTACAGTTTCTCGTGCTACCATCTCCTCCTGGAGATATACCGCGAAACTGGAACTCGATAACAAGATGTCCAATGACGAACTTGTAGGACAACACGAAGTCCATTCTTTAATCGAGTGTGCTGCCACCTGTCAGAGAGATTGCGAATTCTTCGGGTACAACTCTACGCTGAAGAAGTGCCGGACCCATAAGAAGGCCTTCACTTCCGGAATGTCGGACGAAACCGGATGGCGGTATTACTTTCCGGAATGTATGTATTAGTTTTTATTTTATTTTTTCTTCAATCTTACACTTGTAACCGATTTATCTGACCTTATTTTGATTGTTTATTCTTATGAGTCGTTTCAAGCGTTGAACAGTGAAGATAACTATTCTATTTATTTTCATAATCTTATATAATTCTAAGTTTTGAATTAAGATTAGTATAACATTATTGAATTCTTATAATAATTATATAGAAAGAATTCTATAATTCTTAGTTTTGAATTTTGAGTTACTCCTTCAGATGGTCTTAACCTAAATCCTAAATAAATCTCAGATTTGAATTAAGATTTTCCTTTATATTATGTAAGTTTTAATCCTATATAATTCACACTTTTGTTCTTTAGTTTTCCCTATATATTATGTAAGTCCTAATCCTATGTAATTCTTACTTCAATTCTTTAGTCTTCCTTTTATATTATGTAAGTCCCAATCCTTTATAATTCTCATTTTTGTTCTTTAGTTTTCCCTAAATATTATGTTTGTCCTAATCCTATTAATGCTCACTTTTGTTCTTTAGTTTTCCCTTAATATTATGTAAGTCCTAATCCTATATAATTCTCACTTTTGTTCTTTAGTTTTCCCTTAAGAGTATGTAAGTCCTAATCCTATATAATTCTCACTTTTGTTCTTGTAAGTCCTAATCCTATGTAATTCTCAATTTTGGTCTTTAGTTTTCCTTTTATATTATGTAAGTCCTAATCCTATATAATTCTCACTTTGTTCTTTAGTTCTCCCCTCGGATTGTAAGGAACTTCGTGAAAATGATTATGATAAATCGGACGTTTCTCTCAGATTTACCCATACGGGACAAAGTCCATTCCGGTCAAGGTTCACTGAAACATGGATATAATGGGCGGCGGGTGGACGGTGAGTTTTGATAAATTCTAAGTTTTGATTTTTGGTTATATGATGCATTGGGTTGATTTTGTGATATTTACATTGTGTCTTGTCCAGGAAATTGATATAGTTTTCCATCTTCGTTTTCCCTTTTTTATTAATTGATATTCTGCTATCACCTGCATCTGGTGTAAGCATCTCCCAAATTTCTACAATCAGCAAGAGTAAGATCATAATTAATTTTTAATCTAAGACAGAATACTTAGGAATGTTTTGACTAAAAGGGATTTTAAAATAACCATTTTTAGTCAGCATTTCAAAAAATGGTCAATCCTTTTAAACGGGTCGAATGTTTCTGTCTCTTTCATTTCAATTGTTAGATCGCTGTATACTAAATTAGACTAGAGAATGATCCGTCTATCTGTATCATGTCAATTGTTAGATCGTTGTATACTAAATTAGATAAAATAGAGAATTCTCACGTTTTTAATTTTTCTTGACAGAGGCTTACGACTCCCTTTTTAATTCATGAACCTGATCCCACCGCTGGAACTTTCGGTGTGTGTATGTGTGTTAGAGGGTGTGTGTTGTGTATGTGGGTTTGATCTATGTCCTGTTCACATATTTGGATTGGTTGTTACTTTTTTAAAAGTCGATCACCGCTCTTTATCTTTGTCTTTTTTTCCACAATGATAACATGTCTATAAATTCTACAAGAGACCCTCACATTAGTAATCTAATTAATTTAAACAGCAAGTCAACTATCCTAATGAATGTACATACATCTTTCCGAGGCAATCCAAACTATGCTAATAAATATGCATATATTTTTCCAAGGTCATCCAAAAACGATTCGATGGGTCCGTGAGCTTTGACAGAAACTGGACAGACTACAAAAATGGTTTTGGTGAACCGGAACAGGAAGTTTGGATTGGTAAATATGAACCAATACCGGGTCTTTAATTGGTTTAAAAGTATAACCAAGATATAAACATTTGAATTTTGAAAGCAGTTAAAAAATAAATTGATGTACGAATAATATAAAAACTCTACTTTCTTTAGTCTTGTTTTTAGTAGTTCAATGGTAAATAAAAAATGCATTTACCAGTTATTATCAAAATAAAGGAAAGATAAGACATACAAGAATGGAAATTCAAAGGACTTTTCGTATTTCAAAGTCCTTTAGTTTTTGAAAGTCCTTATGTTTTTAAGTTTTGTGTGAGTTATGGGTGTGTGAATCACACAGAATTGTCACGTAGGCTTATTTCATTAAGCAAGCTTGCGCGTATTGAAAATTATATACCCACGTACAAGTCTGTGTCCTTCGCACACCCATAATTCACACAATTTATATTCACGGTCCACAGTGACAGCATGTTTGTTTACAATATTGTTTGTCCGTATGTGTGTGTTAAACATGGGGTTTGATCAAGAACGACTTCACAATTAGAAAAGTTCCATAACATTTCTATGATAAAGATCTGGGATTTTTATTTTTAATGTTTTTTTTCTTTTTTCATTTAAAGTTTCTTTAGTTGTTATCACATTATCTAAATCAAACTAAACTGCACAATTATGTCATCAAATCGTCACTTGTTTCGTGTGCTGTATTTACCATTTTCCCATTTCGAATGCTCAGGAAACTGCCAAAAAAATAAATAATAACCAAATGCCCTGAAAATTTTGAAGAAACTGACAGAATGAATTGTGGTGAACCGATTAAGGAAATATTTAGCCCCAATCTCATGTGTTTAAATCTTTTATTCTTATCAATACTCATGTATTTTCTAATATAACCTTTGTTATTTGACCGTGATAATATAGGACCTGTACACATTAAGCAAAATAAAATCTTGATTTCTGTGGAAATAATTTTATCAAAATATTTTGAAACTTCAATATGATAAATAAACATTTACTGAAAATTTCAGAGGGAAAACTTAGTGTGTCCATTATTTTCAAAAAGAAAAACCTTGTCTCACGATTTTCCCGGACAAAGCCTTGTATATCTAAATAAAGCATGATATAAGCAGATTATAAATAGCTGCATCTACGTAGTTGAATAACATGCATTTATTACTATACAATAGGAATTGTCTGATATAGTCTGATACAGTTTTAAACAATGCATATTACAAAAATCTTTAGATTGTTATTATTATTTTCCCTTGGGCTTTTTTTACGAAACAATATTACACTGTAATACACATAGCACTGGCGGATTGTGTATGTCATTAAAGCGTGTGTGTTCGTACGCCTGGATTTTTCAAAGTCCCATGATTGACTTATTCTATAACTGTTACATTTTGGTAAAAACTAACCAAACCACTGTTTTTCTGATTTTTACTCTTAAAATACACAAAAATCCAGGAACTTCCGGGGCCGCGAATCTGAGTAATCACCATTCAAAGTATGATATACTACTATATGTAGTATTAGACACGCCGTACCATGGTACATCGCTAAGCAATATAACACTTATAGTAAGTAATAAGTAATTGAATCGTTTATTATAGTGGCATATGCTACAATACAATGAGAATTGAAACATTCAAAACAATTATTATTCAAACATCCAGACCTATATGCCACTTAAAACAAAAATAATTGAAAAATATGCACTAATATTTTGCCTGGTTTTACTCTAAAATACACGAAAACCCAGGACCCAGACTCCTTGCCTCAACAAAATTATTCACGCCACCCTAACCACAAATTCTGTATCCGCCCCTGCATAGTTATTGATTTTAAATATATCTTAAAACAGGAAAGTAATTTTATTACTCAATAAGGTATGATTATATTAAATAGAATCAATGGATTTTTTAATACAGGAAATGACTTGATACATCAATTAACAAAAGAAATCACCTCATCCCTGTATGTGACCATAGCTCTACAAAATGGTACAACTCTGTATGAAATGTACGACGGATTCTCTGTCTCCGACGAAGCAGGAAAATATCAAATCTTTCTTGCAGGACCTGCCACGGGGACCTTAGGTTTGTGTATCCACGTAAAGTTCTTAAAATGGGGTTCAAATTACGTATCTTATCATAAAAAAATATTTTTGATTGAAAGATGATTAAGTTGTTGAAAAAAGATAGGGTTTTTCTGGTATTCTGTGTACCTTTTTGATTCCACGCACACTAAGTATGTTTTAAATTTCAGAATATCATCTGCATGTTTAATTCTCTAATTCCGCAAACATTGAGCTTTTTAAAGTCAGAAAGCTAAAATATAAAGAAAATCGTGTTAAATTATTTTTAAGAAACAAAGCAAGCAATCATATTTGCTCAAGCATTGTTATTGAGCTTAGGTTTCTTGATAATTTTTAATTATTCAGATTTTAACTTCTACGGGACAGGAAGTTTACACAGCATAATTGATCTAATATACCGACATTTCCAGGAAACTTTCATGTTGAAATAAAATTATTTTATCGGAAACATATTCAAATTTTAAAAAGCCAAATTCAAAACATCTCAATGTGTTTCACATTTACAATAACTTTTGTCTATTTAACGAAAATCTAGTCTGCTTCTCAATAATTCACAGTTTACTACTACGGAATAAGAAATTTACAGAGCGTCATTGATCTTAAATATCAAATGATACTTATTTGATCGGATACATGTTTAAATTAAAAAAAAAAAAATAAAAAGCCATATTTAAAACACCTCAACGTTTTTCACATTTACAATACATATGCTTCATCTAATGAAAATCTAATATTTTAAAACATTTACAGGTACACCATATATTATATCGTTAAAATTTTGATTGATTTACTTCGTACTGTATTTTATACATTATTAAAGGCACGGTTTCTGACATATATGAATATTTCATTTATTCATGTTTTCTGATATTTTCAGTGACCTTTACCCCCATTCTTTAGAGGAGTAACACGTCTGTTGTTTATTGTTACACTAAAAAGGATTCCATGTGAATTCCACAGTGTTTTGTTGTCTTGTATTTTTTATCTCTCTTTACAGTAAACAAAACATCAAACTGTGTATCTCAGACGTACTTCAGTATTAAGATTAATGAGATGTAAATTAATAACTATTATCTCTGTTATATATTTTCACCAATTCTGCATATACCAGTATGATAGACAACAGGGATTCTAAGTCAGAACAAAAAAAAATATTATCGATCTTTCCAGAACCTAAAGCCGTCTATCTTAGAAGTACCTCAGTATTATTATTGACAATTACCGGTAGATTAAAAATATATAAATCAATTAACTTTGTGATTCTTTTTGTTTGATTTTACAGGGGACACTAGGGTGAATTCACCATGCATCGGACGCCGTTGTAATTCAACAAGTTATAGCGATATCGATACCGACGTAAAATAATCAAAATGGAGTTTAACAATTAGTATGTGCTTAAAATATAAATTTGGGACACAAATAAATGCCTTTTATTGATAAAATATCCTCAAAAATCGAGTTTTTAAATATAACTCAGAATTTACCATGGATCGGACATTGTTTACCATGCATCGGACAGACGGTATTTGGACCGAAAAAATATCATACCTTTATCACAATGCTTTAAAGTCATTAATATGGATTTATATTTATCTTTTATCTAAGAAATGACCATCGACTTAAATTTAATTGACGATATCGTTGCACAAATGTAGAACGATTAAAAATGCCTCACTTTGCCTAAGATTAGTAAGAAATGCTTTAAAATGCTTATAATGCGGTAATTCGCGCTTTTTTCTCATGGTTTATAATACTTTGGTTTGTAGAAATGAATTGCGTCAAATTCTAAACGTCAAATATCGATAATTACATTTTGACTGAAAATATAGAGTTTTTATTTTCTATTTCTGCAAGAAACAGCTGTCAGTTGGGTTCTGTATGAAAATGATAGTGCTTACCTTTGCATCGGAAAGTGTCCGATGCATGGTTAATTTGTGTCCGATGTATGGAGAAATGAACATACCAGTAAAAACCAGCTCAAAAAATAATTATACGAACATTGAAGTGAAATTTCTTTAGAATTTATGTAAAATTACCAATCTTTGACTTTATTTAACAAAGTTCGACTCGTTCCGTTGAAGTCGAATTTTAAGAACGATAACTCTAAAAATCGCAAAATCATAAATTTCTAGTTATTCCCCTTTGACGATGTAAAATATATGACGTAACTTCAAGGCCATTCTCGGGGTATTTTTATCACAACATGATAATAACAATCGGTATCATTAAAAAATTTAAATCCTCAGCTTTAAGATAGAAGCAAATACATACACAGAACTCTTAAGTTGAGAGAGAGTTTATTACCTAAAGTTGTCCGAAGCAAGGTATGTGTCCGATGAATGGTTAACTCACCCTATGTTAAATACAGGTTGTTTTTTTTTTACCACAATCTGTCTGGGATGTTCTTCTCCACACCAGACAGAGATCACGACGAGTATAGTCGATATAAATCTACTGATCTATTTTAAACAAGTGTCCATGTATATGTTTCTTTTTTAATTCTACAGGAGACAGTATGTTGGACACCGGTTATTCTGCCAGAGATCTGTCTGGGATGTCCTTCAGTACCCCAGACAGAGATAACGACAGATCTAGTGGTATTAACTGTGCTGCCCGCAGTATCCGTAGAGGGGGCTGGTGGTTTAACTTCTGTCACCGAGCCTTCCTTAACGGTCAATGGTCCTCGGAGTCCTGGTACAGACCATGGTATCCCACAGTAACGAGTGGGACGTCAGTGAAGGCGACTTTAATGATGATAAGACGGAACTAGGTAAACATCATTACATCTTAAAAACAAGTTCTTTTTACTTTTGTATTACTCTGAAAATTTCAGTTATGAAAGTTTTTTTTTTTTTTAAAGAAGAAATATACTATCATACATTTATCTGTGAAGTATTATTATTTTTTTAACAGACAAAGGATCATCAATGGATTATGGAAACCCTCAAGAGACGATTTAAATTGATTTTTATCGCTGAGTTTTGTTTTTCTTTTTTTTAAATATTTAACATCAAGTAACAAACAGTAAAAGAAGGGGGGTTGAATTGCTCTGTAAATCGATACTGAATGTATTCAGTAAAGGTTGTACTTTATATGTGTTGTAATAAATTTGAAATTAGAAATATTTCGTTGTTTTTTTTTTTTCCAAACACTGATAAATGGAGATAACTTGGCGGAGAATTAGGATGAAGGTTACTTTTTTGTTAAACCTATTACAGTGGAACCTGTTTAATCCGACACATGCAATACTCTTTACTGTGATTTCAGCCATTGTCATTTATACTTATCTCAATGATCTTTACACGCTGCAATACTACACCTTGTTTATTCCAACACATTTATTTTTAATCTGTTCCCCGTGCATGTCGGATAAGACAAATTTCATTGTAATAAAGATGTTAAGAAATTTTTTTTTTAATCATAGGTATATTTGATGGTCATGTTTTGTGGTACAATACATCTAAGATTATACTTCTCTAAAAACATATCCCCATCTTTTTAATCCACACAGTATTTTTAATGAATCTGCATTCAAGTATCCATTTATATATTTAAAACCGCTAAAATTGGAATTATTGTTAATTTTAATATCATGGAGAAAATAAGCTAAAATGTTGAAGTGAGGCGTACTGAATATTTCTTTCCACAAATCTAATTATACCATAAATATATTTAGATAGCTTGAATTTTATGTGTGGCAAGAAACGCAAAGATACTAGATTCTCAATGATACTAGATTATGAGCTTAAAGTAAAAAAAAATTACATTTTCTGAAGATCAATATCTTCTATTGCTACAAATAGTAATTAATAAAAGAGCTTTCTGCTTTTGAATGCACAAAATACGTAATAGCAGACTTATATCGATACTGTAATTTTTTATTGTGTTTTTTTTTTATTCAAAAACCATAACACAGATCGGGGATTAATAGGTTACATTAGTAATATGCGTTTTATTTTGACGTCACAAACGTTAAAAGCAAAATTTGAAATCATTTTAATTTATTGTTATTTAGGTTAGAGATAATTCAAGTAAGTTAGAAAAAAAATCAAATTGCAAAACAAGACAAGGAGTTAGAAGAAAAGCACTCATTTATTATTTTTTGAAAGATGTTATCTTATATCTGTAACTGCCTTTGCAAATAAAAAGCAAGCTAACATTAATCAATATATTTGCAAATAGTTTTGTAATTATGAGACTACATCTTTAAAAAATGATTCAGTATGTGTGACAAGTCATTCTCTATTATGCAATATGTAAACTATGGTTTATATACTAGTATATCCAAAAATTTGATAGACTTCAACTTGAAATTTGTTATTAAATCAATAGGAAAAGTTTTAGGAGCTAATGATAAAAATTCAAGACAAGTTTGTGAAACAAAGAGGCTGATGATTAATGTTGTCGTTTGCAGGTCAAACACCACGGTTAATATAAACTAGTATTGGTACCAAAAGAAAGAAAAAGAAAAAGAAAAGTCCTCACAATGAGTCTACCTTCAAGAACTAAAAACCATAAAAGCAGCAACAGTTCAGTAATTATGACCAAAGTTAGAGATTTTCAAAAATGGGTCAAACTGGACAAGGTCAAGAAGTCAATATTAATAATACCCAAAAGAATTTCATTAAGAATACATAGGTGAAATATAAAAGTCACGGAGTCAACCTTTCAAAAGTTATCACCAAAGTTTTTTTTCAAAAGAAGGTCAAATGTCCAAATAAAAGGATGAAAAATATACAAAGAAAATATTGGTATTCAAGAGACGATCTTACCACAAGAAATAAACCGGTATAATAGTAATTCCCTAGCACTAAATACGTCAAAAGCTAACGTTTTTGAAAAGTATGTCAAATCCATAAGATGAAGGTTAAAGGTCAATCCTGTTTGTACTCAAGAGAAGGTTTCATCAAAATATAAGCGTGAGGAGTATGATATCACTTGATTTAACCGTGTAGTAGCTATGGCTAAGAATAAAATTTTGAAAATATCTTTGAAAGCGAGTCAGACATAAAGGTCAAAGTCAAAAATACTTTTACCCTAGGAAAGGTTTTTACACGTTGAATACACCAGCGCAATATTAAAGCTATGGTTCATATGACCTGCAAGGCTCAAATTCAAAATTCAAAATTGCCCGTCAAAATAAAGAAATAACCTATGAAATATGAAATTCATAGCTCAAACAAATTGAAGGCTGTAGTCAAGGCTAATTGATTTCCCCACTTACAAATAAATCAGGAAAAAACAAAACAAACAGACAACTGGACCGACCGTCCTAGGAAAGTATATTGGCCCCTTATTTTTTGGATTACGGATAGAAATTTTAAAAACAACACTTTGTGCTTAAATGTTTGTATGTATGGTGAGAGGAGATCCCAGTCAGTTTCCTTGGGAAAATAACGAAACAATATAGGGTGAATTCACCATGCATCGGATACCCCTGTACTTCAACAAGTTCTAGCGATATCGCTACCGACGGAAAATTATCAAAATGGAGTTTAACATTTAGTTTGTGATTAAATTATCAATTTGGGACACAATTATATGCCCGTTATTGAGATAATATCCTCAAAAATCGACTTTTTAGGAATAACTCAAAATTCACCATGGATCGGACATTGTTTACCATGCATCGGACAGACGGTATTTTGACCGGAAAAGTATCATACCTTAATCAAAGTGCTTTAAAATACTTGATATGGATATTTTTTTTTATCTTTTATCTAAGAAATAACCCTCAACTTAAATCTCATCGACGATATCGTTGCACAATTGTAGAACGATTCAAGAGAACTCACTCAGACCTTAGAAATGCTTTAAAATGCTTATAATGCGGTAATTCGCGCCTTTTTTCATGGTTTATCATACTCTGGTTTGTAGAAAGAAATTGAGTCAAATTCCAGACGTCATATATTGATAACTTGTATTTTGACTGAAAATATAGAGTTTTTATTTACTTTTCCGCAAGAAACAGTTATCAGCTGGGTTCTGTATGAAAATGGTAGTGTTTACTTTTGTATCGGAAAGTGTCCGATGCATTGTTAGTTTGTGTCCGATGTACGCAGAAATGAACATACTAGTGAAAACCAGCTCTCAATAGAAGTGTGGTAGACCAAATTTACTTTTATAATTTATCTTATGTATTTATTCGTTTTGGAATCATGCTATTTTTCGTTTCATCTAAAGTAATCTTAAATATTTTTTATCTTAAATTTCATTGGCTCATTTGATATTATCCATTACCTTAAGTATAAGTAACCGTTCAAACTAAGCAAAATTGGGCAGTATTACATTTTTAAAGAAGAAATTATATCCAGCCGATATCAGATGCATCTTGTGGTATGTAACTTTCATATTTGATTATTTTTTACTTTACTATTAAAGATTTGGGTATAACATATTATTTTAATTGCGAAGTTTATACTTTATCGTATTTTTGCAGTTAAAGTTGTCTCAGTAAATTTCTATATTTTGTCTGTAGGTTCAAAGTTCATTTTGCTACAGTACATTTTTCTATCTTCTATGTGTATACTGCATAAACGGTAACTTATTGTCAATGTTTATGAAACTATATGTATTTTTTCTAATAAATTCTTTGTATTTGTTATAGGTCAATGTCTTTATTCTAATTCTTCAATAAATAAATGGATACCAACATCTGACTCATCATTTACCATTAACTGCACGGTTACAGAAGTATACGAACATTGAAGTGAAATTTCTTTAGAATTTATGTAAAATTACCAATCTTTGACTTTATTTAACAAAGTGGGACTCATTCCGTTGAAGTCGAATTTTAAGAACGATAACTCTAAAAATCGCAAAATCATAAATTTCTAGTTATTCCCCTTTGATGATGTAAAATATGACGTAAATTCAAGGCCATTCTCGGGGTATTTTTATCACAACATGATAATAACAATCGATATCATTAAAGAATTTAAATCTTCAGCTTTAGGACAAAAACAAATAAATACACGGAACTCTTAAGTTGAAAGAGAATTTATTGTCTAAAGTTGTCCGAAGCAAGGTATGTGTCCGATGCATGGTGAATTCACCCTAATGCACTGTCTGTCTTTGTGTACATGCTATTCATAGTTTA